GAGGTGCGCGCAAGCTGACCCAAACATCCACGGTTATCAAAAAAAAAAAAGAGATGTATGCACTATTCAGTAAATTGAAATAAGGGAGATTTGTGTAATTTTTCAAAAGAAATGGGGTTGTCTTTGAAATTATCATAAATCTTCTTAAATTTTAAATTTTAAATAAGGGAGTTGCATGTAAAATTTGAAAAGTGGGGAATGTAAGTATGTAACTAAGCTCCTGTTTGTTTCTGATTAAAATCTGATTTTAATTTCAAGTCGAAGTCGACAATTAATTTAACCACACGTTTCATGGGGTTCACAACTTTTTAATCACATATTTCACTAGCTTTTATCAAAATTTATTAAAAATCTGATTTTAATCTACAATAAACAACCATGAGCTAAAATTATCATAAACTCAGAAAAGGTCTATATACTTTACTCAACGATATTTTTCATTTTCATTTTTATAATACTCTTAGAGTTATGCATCATGCCTAGACTAGCCATGCGAGCTTTGTTGACTTGTACTTCAACAAATTATCGAAAAATAAATTGTAGGAGCAAGAATTTCCATTATGAAGATTCAAAACATAATTAACAAAATTGTCCTAGCAACAAATTTAATTATCTAAAAGTTAACAAATTGTACATGGTGTCTGTAGAAACAAATTACACAAGTCATAACCTCCTAAACATGCTTACAAACTCCCCACAAAGCGTGAAAAAGGGAATAATTATATCAAGATAAGAGGGTAAAATCATCGTTTTTCTAAACTTTTCCAACAGGTTTAATCTGTCAAGAATTAATCAAAAAACCTAAAGTTGAAAACTAACAACATATATAGCAACAAATTTGAAACAAACCAATATAATGTGTTTTTTGTTGTGTATTTAGGATTGTTCTTGTGTCTCAGGGTCTGCCTCCTCCTTCGGCTGCTCGTCCGCCTCGGCTTCTTCGGCCTTGGCCGGGACGTCGTCCTGATATTCTCCAGCACTCTTTTTATGAGTGGCATCCTTTACATGCTGGTAGTTTCCTTTCTCCATGAAGAGCTGCTGAAAGTGGACTTTGCAGTATAGAATTCCATCAAGAGCAGCATATGATGAATGAGTGAGGGGACACCCTCCATGGGCACACCTGAAGCATGATTTGTGGTATGATTCTCCCTCTAATGTCACCTGTTTATAGTTGCGAGTCATTATTCAAGGAAAAAATGGCTATAATTTGTGTAAGTTGGATTTGTGAATCCCCTGATGACTTGTTAGATTAGGTAGACATGACAATATCGACAATATTGAAAAAAAAAATGTATGTGAGAATTTTTTGTCGGATAGTGTCTAGCCGTGCATACTGTGTAGTGTCTAGTCCAGCCTACTAGCATGCCCTGATAAGCACATTATTCAAGAAAAAAGTTGTTATAATTTGCACTGCATTATGTCATTTATGATCTGAGATTGTCCCGTGAATGAATGCTCCCATAGTTCGACTAGAGAACACCTGACAAAACCTTGTTCATAGTAGTGTCCAGTTCTATATAATTGTGCTTATTTCATACAATCATGTTTGGTATACATCATCCCTTACACTCTACCACATGACATCATTTAATTGGACAGTTTTTTTTTTTTTTTTTAAAGTTTTTTCAACCAATTTTTTTTTTTTTTGACAACACGGCAAATGTCATCCATAGTATAAGGGAGGAGTGTACGAAGAACATAATCCTATTTGATATGCAATATTGACCTATGTTGGATAGTATAAGTGACAATTTTTTTACTTCTTTTTCTTTTTAATAATATGCTTATTCTACTCAACAAAACACTCTGGGAGAATGCATATATAATGACTATGAGTTAACAAAAACATAGCATACCTTCTCTAGTGGGTACACAGTTTTGTTACATGCAGAACATTTGTCTTGGGTTCCACTGAACATGGCAGAGAGCTTGGTTGGTGCTTTTGTCTGCATGAATTTAAACAGCTCACTTATTAGGCCTTTGTAAAATAACATTGAGTTCAAGTCTCATCGTCTTTCTTTTACAAAAGCTTCACATATTAGGCCTTCGTAAAAATGAGTTCGGTTGGAATTCATAAAGGAACCATCCACATACCGTTGAATTTTCCCTCTCGTGCTTTGCTTCTCAAACATTCATCAACAAAAGTGAAAATAACAATTAGTAAATTGATGAAAAACTTAACGGCGTGTTTGGTAAGTAGGATTGGATGAGACTTATAAAAAGATTAACGTGATAAGATTTGTAAGTTATTCTAATGAATAGGTTTTCTTACAAGTCTGAAAATTCTTGCTGAAATTTCCAGATTCTTTGAAAAGTTGTTCAAAATGAGGCTTGCAGTA